ATAATAATAATAATAATAATAACAATAATAATAATAGTAATAATAATAATAAATAATAACAACAAAATAACAGTAATAAATGGAAATCATTGCAAGGAAAAGATATTTATTTTTAATGAGAAAATAAACATTCTATTATAAATGCAAAATACGTTTATTCCGTTTTATATACAAAGCATTTCATTCTGATAAACAATGTCAAACCAAAATTAATGCTTTCGTTCTTCTATTATTTGTATAAATTATTTAAAATAATATCTGAGAGAAATTTCTAAATATAAAAATAAAAATTTCTCTCCAATGCATAATTTCATATCTTTTTTATGCATAAGGTCAATTAGTCAATCAGTTAGTTAATTAATTAGTTGATGAAATAATTAAAGTGCATAAAGTATTTCGTACTTTTTCGATAACAATTAATAGTTCCCTTTGAAGTGCATATTCAAAATGTCCTTCAATCATTGATTTAATCATTAGTGATTCTATCATATCTAAAATTATTTGTTTCTAAATCTTTATATCAATAATTTTAAATTAACTGAATATAACAATTGCATATAGTGGATTGTTATCATCGCTTATCAAAACGAAATTTTAAAAATGCCATTACTTGTAATGATTTTGTAAATTTTGCATAAAAACTAACAATAGTCACAATTATGATGAATTCAGGTAAAAAAAGTAGCTTTTATTTTTTTTCTTTTTTTTTAATTCCATATAAATAGAATGATCATTTGCAGTTGTGATTATCACAGATGTATTGTTGGAAGTGAGGAACGCGGGGGGCGGGAATTGGTAGAGATAGCGGGGAAAGCGGAGGAATAATAATGATGTATGATGGCTTGGCTATTATTTCCTTCCTCTTTTTTTTTTTTTTTTTTCATACATAAATTTATTTTCTGTGGTTAATTTCAGTCTAATAAACAAAATATAATATTACAAACATCGAAATGATCAACTCATACTATCTAAATCAATTTTACAAGCGAAAAAAAAAACAGGAATGGATGCTCCATCTTTTATTTTAATTTCATTTATTCTATTTTTTTTTCATTTATAAAATAATATTTTTAAAATTTAATTTGCTAAAAAAAATTTTATTTTTGAATTAATTCACTTTTACAATTGCATCGTATAGCTTTTCAGCGTTGTTTTATTAATTTAATTTTGTAAAATTTCATTCTTTAAACAATTTTCAATTATACCATCTTATCATAATTTGAATATTTGTTTGTAATAGTAAATTTTATAATATATTCATGAAACAAATGAAGTACCAAACCTTTTTTTTCCTTTAATTTAATAATTGATAATGAATGATATCTTTTCCGTTTTTTTTTTTTTTTTTTTTTTTTGTGAAATACTGTTTGGGTGTATTACCTTCATCGTTGTACAATTCCCGAGAATCAAAAATGTCACCCATAAATGTCATTTGCTATGAGAAAAAAGGAAAAAAAAACATAAAACTGAACATAGGTGAAATGATAATGTTTATTTCAGATAATTTGAAAATGAAATAAAATTTCCTCCGACAAAACATTTTCCTTCCCTTTCGAAGTTTTGCTTATTTCGCTCTTTTTTCTTTCCCCTCTTCTGTCTCTCTCCCTCTCTCTCTCTCTTTATCATTTAACCGTATATTTTCGATATATATATATATATAATAATGAAATTCAAGTTCAAAGGTTAAGTTTTTAAGATAATGATAGTACGAGTGTATCGATTGCTAACTTAAATAATTGGTTACTGTAATAAAGATACGATGAAAGTTGTTGGTAAGTATCGTAATATCTTTCTATCGTATCGTAGGTATTACTGTTTGGTTGGAATTTTTCTACTGATATATGTTTTGTTGATGCATTTAAACAAACACTTATAGTTTGCACAAATTGTAATTACTAATTTTTTTCATTTTGTTTCAATGAAATAGACAACAGGAAGAGAGAGAGAGAAAGAGAGAGGAAGAAGGAGAAAAGAGAGCGAGGGAGAGAGAGGGAAAGAGGTAAAAATGAAGGAGTGAAAGAGTTTTTTTCTTGAATTGAAATGATTTATATATATATTTGACGTGTGTATACACCCCGAAAAAGCGAAGAGAAAGAAGTGTTATGAAAAGTTTCGCAATTAAGAAAAAAAAAGAAACTGGAAACAATTGGTTGATAGATGATGATAACAGCGATTGAAGATGGAGAAAGAGAGAAAGGGAGAGAGAAAGAGAGAGGAGAGGGAGAAAGTTATAAATAATAATATACCTAGTAAAGAAGAGAAGATGAAGGAAGAGGAGGAGAGAAGTGGAAAAGATTTAAAGAAAAAGGAAATAGATGAAATGAGAAAGGAAAGAAATGAACAAATGGGGAAATAGAAGAATAATGAATGATTATCATTGATAAGAGAGAAGGGAAAAAGTAAAGAAAGAAAAAAAAAAAACAAGGTAGAAGAGAAAGAAAAAACACGATGAAAAAAGAGTAGGAAGGAAAGATGGGAAGAAAAAAAAGAAACTAGCAATTTTCATTTTCACAAAAAAAAGGTTTCATTTTGAGTGCTGTCATATAAAAATATCTATGTCTTATATATATATATATACATATATCTACAAATATTTAAACGATGATAGGAGAGAGAGAGGAAAAGAGGGAGAGAGAGAGAGAGAGAGAGAAACTATACATACATCAACTACTACAACAACTAACTACAACGGCTGTGTCGACAATCATTTTTAATCTTTAGTCTTTCAAAATAGCAAAAATTTTAATGTGTATATATGTATGTGTGTGGTTGTTAGTATGCTATTGCTATTGCTATGATGGTTAGGAAGAAGGAGTGGGTGGGTAGGTAAAATATGGGGTGACAGGAAGAGGAGGAGGAGGAGGAGGAGGAGGAAGAGGGGGTGATTGTGATCGGGGGAGGGAGAGGGGATGGCAAAAGGGTTACTGCTTTCATAATATATTTCATCAATAAAATCTACAAACGAAAAAAGATATGTAGAGCGGGTAGTGTCCCCGACATCAGCACAGAACCAGCCGTCTGTTTCATTTAGTCAATCCCTCTACCTCCCCCTTTTTTTCCCCCCCCCCGTCCCCTCCCCTCTCCACGCCCACACTTTTTCTCAATTTTCTTTACGTTTCATTTTCCTTTTTTATTTTTCCTCATGGAAGAAAGGGAAGGGTTAGACTGGACTTCAATCCACTGACCTAACTGCTGGAAAAAAGTCCGAAGACCAAACAACAATCCCTTCCATCCATCCATCCCAGCCATGCCAACATTTTCGGATGGATTATTTATTGTTGATTGGGATTGAATGATTATTGATACACAAAATGTTGCTATCCTTCAATGATAGGTACAACTATCCCCTCTTACTATTTATGTTACTACTGCCGTTACTGTACTGCTACTATTACTACTACTACTACTACCAACTACTACTACCAACTACTACTACCACTGCTACTACTACTACAACCACTATTACCATTACTGCTACTACTACTGCTACTACTACTCCTACTACTACTACTGCTATTACTACTGCTACTACTACTACCACTATTACCATTACTACTACTACTACTGCTACTACTACTACAACAACTACTGCTGCTATTGTACTAGTACCATTATTATATTATTATAATGATAATACTGTGACATTTCTTGCGAACAAAAAAAAAGAAAGGAAAAAGAAAAAGAAATAGTTTGAAAATAATAAAATGATTTCTTTTGCATTTCCCTCTAACAAATTACTTATTTATTTAAAAAAGGAGAAAGATGAAAGTAGTATTTGAGTACTGATATGATAATGTATGTATTTAATTACTTTTTTTGCATTAATATCTCTACTTTTTTGATTTTAATATTTTTACACATATCTGAATTATTTTACTAAATGTATAACGATAAAAATTGTATTGAAGCATATTCATTTATATTTCATTGAATATTTTTATCTTTTGAAAATTTTTGTTTTTCTTTATTCGATTGAATTTAAAAATATTTCAACTTTTTTTTTTTGTTTTTCTCCTAACAAAATATTCATTTATTTAAAAAAGAAAAAAGCAAAAGAAAAAAAAGGACAGAAGAGTGAATTTCAATTAATTCGATTTTAGCTTAAAGTGAAAGGAATTTGAATAATAAATAATTATTTGATATCGAATCGAAGCAACTTTTCCTTTTTTTTTGTGATATTTTCAAAAATTTTTTCTGGAAACAAATTACTTTTTCTCTTTTATTTTTTTGGTATTTGATTTTTCTTTACGATATTTAATTACATTTCATATAGTTTTAACATTGTTTTCCATCTCATTGAGCTTC